CCCTAGCCAAGGTCGAACAAAACCCTACATAAAGCCTGACCAGCCCTGTAAGGGCAAACTATTTATTGGTAGATTTAGGGTTTAGGGCCCTAAACCCTAAGCCCTAAACCCTAAACCCTAAACCCTAAACCCTGAACCTGGGTTTAGGCCTGTGGGTGGGCCTTTACCTGAGCCGCCGACAGGCGGAGCGTGGCGCGGAATGTGGGGATGCCCAGCCGCTGTCGAGCCGGGAGTCTCCCTTAACCCCGTGCTTGTAGGGGTTCAGGGTTTAGGGTTTACGGCTTAGGGTTTAGGGCTAGGGTCTAGGGTTTAGGGTTTAGGGTTCAGGGTTTTAGAGCCTTCAAAGTGTGAGAGAAGGGTCAAACAGACGGAAAGACATCAGTTCTTCCGGCCGGAGAAGGATACGAATGAAGTACATACAGCGTGAATACTGATCGAAATGAAGACAGGAAGGCTACAGAAGGAACAATGTTGAAACAGCAGAGCGCATGAAGACAAACGAAAACAATGGTAAAAGGAGACCGCCATGAAAGCTCAAAACAGGAAGGACTGCAACTATTTCATGTTTGTGCGTGCGTTACAGCAAGACAGGAACGACGGGGCAGAAAGACTGGGGACATTGACAGAACAGAAAGAAGGACACACAAACAGAGCGGAAGCTGTTCTTCAAGAGACTCCTTGGACGTGGGTTTACGCTAATGCTCTTGGGCCCCCAAAACCCAAGAAATTGAGGCCCCAGAACCTCTGTAGGAGGGTATTTGGAGCCTTATAGGTCTAAGGGGTTTAGGGTTTAGGGTTGAGGGTTTAGGGTTTAGGGTTTAGGGCTTAGGGCTTAGGGCTTAGGGCTTAGGGCTTAGGGTTTGGGTTCGGCGAGCCACGCTGAGGTCGTGACCTTCACCAGCGCCATCAGCGCATGCCACAACTGCAGCCAGCTACCCGCCAGGGAGCCAGCAACCAACTGGTAAAGGGGTCTGGGCTTCCCTAAACCCTAAACCCTAAACCCTAAACCCTAAACCCCAAACCCTAAGCCCTAAACCCTAAGCCCTAAACCCTAGACCTTTAGGGGTTCTACTGGGTGTTTTGGGGTCTAGGCTTCCAGGGTCAGGGCTCATGGCCTCCCAAGCATGGAGGGTTTGGTTTACGGCTTAGGGTTAGGGACGGTTAGGGTTTAGGGTTTAGGGTTTAGGGTTTAGGGTTCAGGGTTCAGGGTTCAGGGTTCAGGGTTCAGGGTTCAGGGTTCAGGGTTCAGGTTTAGGGTTTAGGGTTTAGCGTTTAGGGTTTAGGGTTTCGGGGCGGCAGGAGTGGGGGTCACAGTTTCTTGGTGTTTAGGGCGCAGGTCTTCGCGATTGTTTGGAATCTCAGATGCTTGCTTTTTGCGAACTTCAGGCAATGCTCCCAAAAACTAAACCCCTAAAGTTTAACCGCTCCCTTGCTCAAGCAGTCAGTATTCCAGCTTCTCAGGTGAGTGACTTCCCATCCCCAATCATCAGGTTATTTTGGGCCTTATGCTAAAGAACATGAACCGTTGACGCTTGACCCCTTGAAACCATCCGAGATCAAGACAAGCTACTATTTGAAAAAACAAAAAATAGAAGATAAGAATTCCCGTATTACCTTTATAAGGAGGAATCTATTCCTTGAAGTGTTTAGGCGGTTCTTATGCAAGTAGTAGAAACAGGGCAAAGGAAACAAAAAAAAACGCATTCTCAGCCCCAAACCCTAAACCCTAAACCCTAAGCCCAGGTGGCTCATGGCCCTGTCCCTCCTCGTCTCCATGGCCGATGCGGCAGCGGAGCCGAACACTGCCACCTACAACTCGGCCACCTCGGCTCCAGCTTGATAGGGTTTAGGGTTTAGGGTTTAGGGTTTAGGGTTTAGGGTTTAGGGTTTAGGGTTTTAGGGTTTAGGGTTTAGGGTTTAGGGTTTAGGGTTTAGGGTTTAGGGTTTAGGGTTAGGGTTTCGGGTTCAAGGTTCAGTATAAGTTTAGGGAGTGGCGAGCGCAAAGCCTTCATGTCACGATTGCTGGCCACGCAAGCAGTCAGTCAGGACGGAGCTACCTTAGGGGACCTGAAGCTGATGTTTGGCGGTTTAGGGTTTAGGGTTAAGGGTTTAGGGTTTAGGGATGGGGGGGTTCCGAAAGTAGGGGTACCTTGTGGGGGACCATATGATAAGGGACTCCTACTATTGGGGTTCCCTATTCGGGATCCCTGATTTTCGTAAACCCCCCACATCTGGAACATGGAAACGGTTGATTAAAGCACAGTTGGCGCTGGTTCCCGGACTCAGGCTTTGGGTTTAGGGTCTGGTGGTGTTTGCTTGCACGACAAATCATGAGCCCGACGATGATGCCGGCCTTGTTTCAGAAAGACCCAAACCATAAACCCGAAGCCCTAAACCCTAAACCCTAAAACCCTAAACCCTAAACCCCTGCTTTCACTCTTCAGGCGATTGCGGCCTGCCACGACGCGGATCAGTGGGCGCAGGCTCGCGGCCCAGGGTTCATTACTCTCGGTTTCACGGTTCCCCAGAAGCTCCAACAAGCCCAAAGTAGGTGACTGCGTGGGTTTGGGTTTAGGGTTTAGGGCTAGGGTTTAGGGTTTAAAGTTTAGGGCTTAGGGCTTGGGGCTTAGAGCTTAGAGCTTCGGGCTTAGGGCTTAGGGCTTAGGGCTTAGGGCTTTTGATTTCGAATTCTCAAAACGCCAACATCCCCCCCTCAACCAAGAAACAGAGGTATTTACGTTCTTCTTGCTTACCTTTATTGGAGTTTCCTCTTTCTAGCCCTAAACCCTAAACCCGAAACCCTAAAACCGTGATTCAACCTTAGACCCCGCAGGCAATCTGGTTTTGGGTTTCGGTCTATTGGGGTTCAGGATGAATCCTGGCTGGAATCGAGCTTCTTTCGTGCACCATCCAACCAGACACAGGTTTGTACTGCAAGGGCTTCGAAGCAGGTTTCTTTTTAAGGGTTTAGGCTTATATTACTTGCTTAAGAACCCCCCCCCCCAAACGAAAAAAAAAAAAATAGAATTCTTCCGCATTATAAGGGATATAGGGATTGTTATCTTTGATTTTCTTCTGGTTCTGAAACAAATAATCCCATCTCCCTAATACTAAACGGGGGGGCCACCCCCCCCCCCCCCCCCCCCATTAAAAAATCGAAAACTGGTTTTATAAATAGGGGGTATTCTTATCGCAATGTCAGAAGGACTCTAACCCCTAAACCCTTGACCTAGACCCCCAACCCTAAACCCTCTGAGGGTTTTATTGGTGTTGAGGGGTTTATTGGAGGCCTGAACCACCCCCCCCCCCCTAATTCGGAATTGGGTTTAAAAGGCGGGGTCGGTTTCGGCAGGATTTTCCGGAAAGTGTTTTTTATTATTAGGGGTGCGTTTGATAAAAGGGGGAAGGGATTAGTAGGAAGGTAGGGGCTTCGAGGCTTCAAGAAGGGCTTTTGGGTTTAGGGTGTCTGGGGCTTTAGGGGTGTAGGGTTTAGGGGTTTAAGGGGTTTAGGGGTTTAGGGGTTGAGAGGGTTTTTGGTTTAGGAATCCTAGGGCGTTAGTGTGGGGCCGTTGTGTGTGTTGAAAGAAACTCGACACCGTGTTCCAGAAACAGGCTCGGGCCCTAAACCCCGCACCTTCTGCCCGAAGTATTTTCAAAGCCCATTTGCCGGCAAGACCAGATGCATACAACTTACATTAGAGTATAGCTACACCTTACACTAATGCCTGTCCTAATCCTCGCAAATGCCCCTAATTCCCCAAACCTGTAAAAAACCCAAACCATACCTGGACCCCAAACCATACCTGGACCCCCAAAGAATGCAAAAAGCCCAAAACACAAAAAAAGACCGTTTTTTTGATGCTGCACTTTGGGGTCTTGTTAAGCCCTACGAACCTTACCTCTCCCTAAATTCCAAACCCAAAATCCTACACCCCCTAAACCTTACAATCATAAACCCTAAAGCTTAAAACCCTAAGCCACAAGTCCACAAGCTCTAAACCCTAAACCCTAAACCCTATACCCTAAACCCTAAACCCTAAACCCTAAACCCAAAAAGCCCTAAACCCTAAACCCTACACCCTAAACCCTAAACCTAAACCTTACACCCTAACTAAATTCCTCCCAGGCCCTGCACCTGCTCTTCGTCATGCACGCGACCGAGGTTGCCGTGGACGTTTCCAGCGATCCGGTCTCAAAGACGAGGGCTTGGGGGTTTGGGGTTTAGGGTTTAGGGCTAGGGTTTGGGGTTTAGGGTTTAGGGTTCAGGGATTGATTAGGGTTTAGGTTGTTGGTTTCCACAAAAAGACGGCACAGCAAAAGCCGAATAACGGAAGTCGTCGTCCACGCGGCGGAGCTCAGTGTGGCGTTGAGTAGGTTTGTCGGACACAGCACAGGCTGCCTGCATGCATTCTCGAAATGCGCGGGCGTTTTGGGTACCCTATATATATATATACATACTTATATATCAGAGGCCTCGAACAGCAACAGGAACCCAGCCAGATTTGCGGAACCTCCCATATGTGCCCATAGATGGTCTGTTTTGTTGTGAGCTCTCATGCTTCGGCCGTACGGGCTTTAGGCTTTAGGCTTTAGGCTTTAGGCTTTAGGCTTTAGGCTTTAGGCTTTAGGGTTTAGGGTTTAGGGTTTAGGGTTTAGGGTTTAGGGTTTAGGGTTTAGGGTTTTAGTGTGACTGGGAAGCTACCTCAGCCACAAGCCTTAGTCAGAGTCTAGAGCGCTCTTTATATCCTTGGGGAAGAAATCGAGTGTAGAGGCTAGGTGGAGGTAAGCCCCTAAACCCTAAACCCTGAACCCTACACCCTAAACCCTAAACCCTAAACCCTAAACCCTAAACCCCAAACCCTAAACCCTAAACCCCTCATCCCTCAACCCTTCTCGCCATGCCCTCGAGGCTATTCCGCAGTGATCAGCGCTTGCAGATGGACCCTGTCACTCGCGCTTCTAGAGGACATGGAGCAAGCCAAGGCGTTTAGGGTTTAGGGTTTAGGGTTTAGGGTTTAGGGTTTAGGGTTTAGGGTTTAGGGTTTAGGGTTAGGGTTTAGGGTTTAGGGTTTAGGGTTTAGGGTTTAGGGTTTAGGGTTTAGGGTTTTTTGGTTTAGGGTTTAGGGTTTAGGGTTTAGGATGTAGTGCTTAGAGTTTTTGTGGTATTCGTTTAGGGGGGGGGGGGGGGGGGGGGGGGAGAGAAAAACAAGAGCCCTCTGAGCGCCCTTTAAAGCCACGGGATTGAGGGTCTAGGGGTTTAGGGTTTAGGGGTTAGGATTTAGGGTTTAGGGTTTAGGGGTTCCCACTTGCCTCGGATCTTTCCCAGAAGGTCGTGCCCAATGTCGCCAGCTTCCGGGGAGCATCTCTGGATGCATCTGCGCCCCTCTTAGGGCTTAGGGTTTAGGGTTTAGGGTTCTCGTGGGTTTAGGGTTAAGGGCTTAGGGTTTAAGGCACAGGGATGCCTTTGTTGGTGGGTGTTTAGGGTTTAGGGTTTAGGGCTTAGGGTTTAGGGTTTATAGGGTTTTGGGTTTATAGGGTTTCGTGGCCCACCCAGCTTTGGAAGTAATCGTTAAGTTGCATCAGTTCGGGGTCGAAAGTCTCGGCGTCAACGACATGTGGGGGTTTCCGACATTTTTGGTACCAACCCTAAACCCTAAACCCTAAACCATAAACCCGTACCTTCTTGGGGTCCTCTTAAACGGGGAATAGGTGTGCCTAAATGTGGATCCTACAAATTTTGCAAGGGGGAGGTGGCCATGGTTGAGTTAGGGTTTAGGGTTTAGGGTTTAGGGTTTAGGGTTTAGGGTTTAGAATTTAGGGTTTAGGGTTTAGGGTTTAGGGTTACTCAAAAGCCCTACACCTCAAGCCGCAACCAGCCACCCGAACCCCAAAGGCTCTCAGGAGTCTTAGTCTAAGGTGTTTGGGCCCATAGGCCTTCTGCATGTCAGGATTTTGGGCTAAACCCCGAACCCAAAACCCAAAACCCTAAACCTCAAGCCCCGAACCCCAAACCCTAATCGTCATTCCTCATCATCCATGTTTGCAGACCCTCTTGCCTGCAGCCGAGGCACTTCAAAGTGCCATCCGTGCTGCACACTGGCAGCCCCCCGGCTTGGTTTAGGGTTTAGGGTTTAGGGTTTAGGGTTTAGGGTTTAGGGTTTTGGGTTTTGGGTTTTGGGTTTTGGGTTTTGGGTTTTGGGTTTTGGGTTTTGGGTTTAGTTTGGGTTTAGGGCTTAGAGTTTTGGGTTTTGGGTTGGGGTTTAGGGTTTAGGGCTTAGGGTTTGGGGTTTGGGGTTTAGGGTGCGGGGCCTAGTTAGGGTTCAAGGGTTTCTGGGTTTAGGCTTCCAGCGTCTACAGGGCTGAGAGGGTTTATAGGGTGCTTGTTCCAATCTTTACCCTAAACCCGAAACCCTAAACCCTAAACCCTAAACCCTAAACCCTAACCCTAAACCCTAAACCCTAAGCCCTAAACCCTAAACCCTAAGCCCTGGTTGCTTTTTTGTTTGATGGGAGGAGGTTCCTCAAGTCCACGCCGGTAAAGAGTTTCGCAAGCGCGTACCGAGTAAAGCTGGAATCTGTGGTAGCTTCCGGGTCTTCGGCGTTTGGGAGGGTTTAGGGTTTTGGGTTTAGGGTTTAGGGTTTAGGGTTTAGGGTGCATGCGCGTGCGAGGGCGAGGGCGAGTGCACGTGCGCGTGGGCGTGCGCGTGGGCGCGGGCGTGTGCCGTGGGTGCATGCGTGTGTACGCAAGGGTCCTCTTTGCGGAACCCTGAAGCCTCAAACCCTAGAGTCAGAGTCGGTTCATGGCCCTAAACCCTAAACCCTAAACCCTAAACCCTAAACCCTAAACCCTAAACCCTAAACCATGCCGGAGAAGCACCTCGGGAATCCGGCATGCAGGCACTCTACCGGAGATGTTTTCCGGAAACCCTAAACCCTACTTGGGTGGTTGGCAACAATATGGCCCCTTTTTTGGGATCCATGTTATCATACGTCACCTAACACCCACTTTCAGGTTCATGGTACTTACTCACCAATGAGAGCTGCACTTATAACCATTTTAAATTCGGGCCCTTAAGGGGCTTATAAGGGGGTTGTAAGTACAGCTTCAATTGTTCAATTTCGTTCGTTAGTGCCATGAACCTCCAAGTAAACCCTACCAAAGTTTTGCAACTCCGGCTGCCTGGATCTCGAAAGCCTAGACCCCAACGTGGATAGACAAAACCCCAACCATGGTGGGGGTTCGGGGCTTGGGGTTAGGGGTCTAGTGTTTGGAGTTGAGGGTTGAGGGTTGAGCGTTCAGTAGGTTTTCATGAACTAGGGTTGAGGCTATCTTTGGGGAAGCCCCCAACCCCCCCCCCCCCAAAAAAAAAAAAAAAAACAAAAAAAAGATAAATGCATAAAGTACAACACATGAAAATAGAAATGCAAAGCATGAATGTAGGACTTAATGAATTAAAAAACATCATGAAGCAATAGTAACAATAGAAACAAAATGCCCGGCTCCTCAGTCACCACAGGCAGGCTCAGCCGTTGTTCGCCAAGATCGCCGCTGTGGAGGTAGGGATAGGGTTTGTAAGGGTCCCGAACTTAGAGGGTATATAAGGATCCCGAATTAAGGGTTTAGGGTTTAGGGTTTAGGGTTTAGGGTTTAGGGTTTAGGGTTTAGGGTTTAGGGTTTAGGGTTTAGGGCCCATACTAAGGGACCATGCGACTACATTTATAGTAAGGGGCGCTCGGGCCTACTTGGTATCCCTTAGCCGTTATAAACCCATGACCTGTGGCACTCTGGTGCCTATTCTAGAGTCAGGCTGCTTTTTTTGAGGGGGGGTTTCGGGTTCAGGGTTAGTTTATGGTTTGGGCAGGATAGGATGGGGTTCAAATTCAGTAACCCTGAACCCTACAACCCTAAGCTCCAAAACCCCAAAAGCCCGAAGCCCCAAGACCACCTCAAGCCCTGAACCCCTAACCCAAAACCCCAGACCTTAAACCATAAACCCCCTAACCCCTAAAACCCTAAAACCCTAAAACCCTAAAACCCTAAAACCCTAAAACCCTAAAACCCTAAAACCCTAAAACCCTAAAACCCTAAAACCCCTAAAACCCTAAAACCCTAAAACCCTAAAACCCTAAAACCCTAAAACCCTAAAACCCTAAAACCCTAAAACCCTAAAACCCTAAAACCCTAAAACCCTAAAACCCTAAAACCCTAAAACCCTAAACCCTAAAACCCTAAAACCCTAAAACCCTAAAACCTAAAACCCAAAAACCCTAAAACCCTAAAACCCTAAAAACCCGAAAACCCTAAAACCCTAAAACCCTAAAAAAACCCTACCCTAAAACCCTAAAACCCTAAAAACCCTAAAACCCTAAAACCCTAAAACCCTAAAACCCTAAAACCCTAAAACCCTAAAACCCTAAAACCCTAAAACCCTAAACCCTAAAACCCTAAAACCCTAAACCCTAAACCCTTTACCCCTAAACCCGAAAGCCTAAACCCCAAACCCTAAAACCCTAAAACCCTAAAGCCCTAAAACCCTAAATCTAAAGCCCTAAAGCCCTAAAGCCCTAAAGCCCGGCCACCTTTCCAAGAACAGGTGGAGCTCTCTCCTAAACCCTAAACCCTGAACCCTAAACCCCAAACCCTAAACCCTAAACCCTAAACCCTAAACCCTAAACCCTAAACCCTAAACCCTAAACCCTAAAACCCTAAAACCCTAAAACCCTAAACCCTAAACCCTAAACCCTAAACCCTAAACCCTAACAGGTGGAGCTCTCTCTTCTGCAGGGCTGAGGCGCACGGCACGCTGGTGGCTCGACTCCCCGCTCCTCCAGGCTGCGTCCCTAGTTGGGTTTAGGGTTTAAGGTTTAGGGTTAGGGTTTAGGGTTTAGGGTTTAGGGTTTAGGGTTTAGGGTTTAGGGTTTAGGGTTAGGGTTTAGGGTTTAGGGTTTAGGGTTTGGGGTTTGGGGTTTGGGGTTTGGGTTTTGGGGTTTAGGGTTTGGTTTTGGGTTTGGTTTAGCGTTTCGGGTTTAGGGTTTGGGGTTTGGGGTTTGGGGTTGAGGGCTTAGGGTTTAGCGTTTGGGGGTTTTGAGGTTTTGAGGTTCTTGGGTTTTGGGGTTTGTATAGGGTTTTGGGGTTTAGGGTTTAGGGCCTTAGGCTTTTTGTTAGGCGTTTAGGGGATTAGGGGTTTAAGGCGTTTACCGGTTTAAGGGTTTAGGGGCTTAGGGGTTTAGGGATGAGGGGTTAGGGAGGGCAGCCAGTCAAGCAGGTGTTCATCCATGCTCAGTGGACGCATGCACGTGTGTCCATCTCGGCATGGAATCACGCCCTGAACACCCAGCCTCTGAACCCGACTACCCTCAATCCTAGGTTTTTCCTTAAACCCTCAACCCCTAACCCTAAACCCCTAAACCCTAAACCCTAAACCCTAAAACCGCGACTTGCAGAACGCTCTCCAGCACCTCCTCAAGAAGGGCTGCCGCAGGGGCATTCGAGGCCTGCACCCCCCTTGACCCTAAGAACCAAGGACTAAGGGTTTAGGGTTTGGGGTTTAGGGTTTAGGGTTGGTACTAGGGAATTTGTGTACAAGGGTACTAGGTCATGATAGGGTTCAGGGGTTCATAAGAACCCTCAAGACCCCTGAAACCCGTTGAAACCCCATTGGCCCACCTGACCGGCTGCAATGCACCCAACTCCCTCTTTCAATGGAGCGTAGGGTTTAGCGGTTTAGGGTTTAGGGTTTAGGGTGGACTTGGCACCCTCAAACCTCGTCCAAGTTTTGACAGCCGGTTGGGTGTACAGATTGGTCCATCGTGCAGGAGACCTTAACTTACTAACTACGGCAACGCCTGTTTTGTTCTTTCGGCAGCCCTGGAGGCTTCTGCGCGAAGCCTGCGCAACTCCTTTTCGTCCCCAAACCCTAACCCTAAACCCTGACCCTAAACCCTAAACCCTAAACCCTAAACCCTGAACCCAAATAGGGAAACGCTCCGAAGCCAGGGAGGTTCAAGATCCGGGACCCAGCTGCGGACAACGCAGGATGCCGATTCCCTGCAAGGCCGGCGGCGAAATTCTTGCTAGGGTTTAGGGCTTAGGATTTAGGGTTTAGGGTTTAGGGTTTAGGGTTCAGGGTTCAGGGTTTTAGGGTTTAGGGTTTAGGGTTTAGGGTGGAATACTACAAAGTTTTCTCACCTCCCTGAACTTTCACACGGAGTCAAGGGTTCAGGGCTTAGGTATTGGCACGAAGGGCGTGGCATTTGCAGCTTAGGCGGCCTTCGACGGCCTCGGCGTCTGCGCTGCAGGAAAAAATGGAAGCACGAGGAAAATGGCCTTGCTGGGTTCAAGTATGGTTCTGGGTTTAGGGTTTAGGGTTTAGAGGGACTTGCGGGTATGGGGCTCAATTAAGGTCTCGGGTTTCAGTGATGTTTCGTTGAAGGTCGTGCAGGGTCTAAGGCTTGCTATAAGGGGCCCTTATGGCCCCTTGAGAATTATTCTAGAACAACCCCAAAAACCCGATGCTAGTTATTAAGGCCCCTATATTGGACTCACGGTCTTTTTGCGCGTTAGGTGCAACATCCACAAGGGCTTGAGGGTCTCGGTTGCGCCGGGATCATTCAATCGTCCTCGGGCCGTAGAATTCCAGCGCCCGACCCAAGCCTTGCTTTCCTGTGGGTTGAGGGTTTAGGGTTTAGGGTTTAGGGTCTAGGGTATGCTCTCAAACCCTATATAGAAGACCTATGAGACCCCGCCACGATAATGTAGAACCAAAGCTCCGGGCAGACGACTGAGGACCGAAGGCAGATTTCGCGAACCTCGGGAGCCTGAAATCCCGGGGTTTAGGGTTTAGGGTCTAGGGTTTACGGTTTAGGGTTTAGGGTTTAGGGAAACCTTTTTTGGGCCAGGTATGTGACATTATCCCAGTGGGGTGGTTTCAGAAGCAAGATTTGTACCGCTACCACCGAGAACCATAACACCTACAAGCTTACATCGTTCAGCTCTTGAACAAAAGCGGATGTAAACACCAAGAGTTGCATCACCAAAGGAGATCGCACCTAGAAGGCTTAGGGGCATAAACCCTGCTCGTTTTTGCTTCCTTCCCTTCCTCCCATACCCTGAACCCGATGACTTAGTCTTTTGTGGCAGCCCAGAAACCGAAGCGACAGAAGGTATATGGCTTAGGATTTACAATGCTGAGAGATTGTGGTGGGGCTAACGCCTATTCCCTAACCCGAAACCCTAACCCCTAAACCCTAAACCCTAAACCCTAAACCCTAAACCCTATAGGGTTTGGGGTTTTGGGTTCCTTAGCCGGCTTTGGGTGCAGAAATTTCTGTAGCCATGGGACAGCCACGGCACGGCCTGTGGCCGGGGCAAGCCAATGCCCGCAGACGAGGCCCAGAATTTTGTTTCTGGGGGTTTAGGGTTTAGGGTTTAGGGTTTAGGGTTTAGGGTTTAGGGTTTAGGGTTTAGGGTTTAGGGTTTAGGGTTTAGGGTTTAGGGTGAACGGCCTAGACTTGGTCGGCCCTTGGGGCATGTTATGTTTTCCCTTGTTGGGTTCAAGGGGGTCAGATTCAGGAATATTTTTCAGGGAGGGGGGGGGGGGGTTGAGAAGGGCCATCCTGGTTTAGGGTTTAGGGTTTAGGGTTTGGGGTTTGGGGTTTGGGGATTGTCCTGGTGTTGAGTTGTTTGGGGGCCTTCAGAGTCGAGGGTATCTAGGGCTTTCGGGTCTAGGGTTTAGGGTCTAGGGTTTAGGGTTTAATTAGGGTTTAGGGCTTTCGGGTTGAGAGTTCACAGGGCTTTGGGCGGGGTCAGGGGGGGGTGTCGCGGGTGGTAGACTGAAGAGCTGTGGTGCTTGAGGTGTTTCTCTAAAAAAGTGTCTGAAGCCTGGGCTTAGGGTTTCGGGTTTCGGGTTTAGGGTTTGGAAAGCTTGCTTAGTCCTTGGGGGGGAGTAAGGGGTGCCGGCTCCTGGGGCTTCGTAGCTTGAGGGTTTAGGGTTTCGGGGCTTGGCTTTGGCGTTGAGTTCTTTAGGCGTGGGGCTTTACCTAAACTCCCCCCCCTGGGTGTAGGGTTTAGGCTTTAACGTTTAGGGTTTAGGGTTTAGCCCCCCCGCCCCCCCCAAGTACCCTTGAAGTCTTTAGGATGCCTCCGTTGAGGTACACTGGGGCCCTTGACCATCAAATAAACCCTAAGCCCTAAACCCTAAACCCTGAACCCTAAACCCTAAACCCTGAACCCTGAACCCTGAACCCTGAACCCGACACTCTCGAACGCCTCTCTAAAACCTTTTCCAACCGTCGACACCCCTTCTCCAAAACCTTCGAACACCATATTCACCCTTTATATACAAAGCCTGTCTAAAACCCGCAAGGCCTTTCTGAAGCCATCTATAAAACCCTATACAGGCTCTTCAAAACCCTCGAAGCCTATCCCTAAACCCTAAACCCTAAACCCTAAACCCTAAACCCTAAACCCTAAACCCTAAACCCTAAACCCTAAACCCTAAACCCCGAACGATGGAGGTGCAACTCTTGGCTTCGGCTGTGGAAGGGAGAGGCGTGTTCCTGGGGCCGGGCTGAGGAGTTTGGGCTGTTTAGGGTTTAGGGTTTGGGGTTTAGGGTTTAGGGTTTAGGGTTTAGGGTTTGGGGCTCAGGGAGGCTTGGGGTCCAGGGGGCTTAGGGTGCAGGCTTTGCGGGGCCATACGAGTTGCAAGTTTACGCTGATTTTGCCGGACTTCGAAACTCCAAACCCCCCGCCCCAAACCCAGCCCTAAGCCCTCGGCCCTAAGCCCTAAACCCTAAGCCCTAAACCCTAAATCCTAAACCCACAAGGATTTCATTGCAGGAGGCGGGCACAACCCTAAACCCTAAACCCTAAACCCGCTGGTGGAGAGCGCACTCTGCGCCACAACTCTGTCCGGGATGTCCTCTACACCTGGTTGGACCGGGCGGGCTTCCGTCCCGAAAAGGAGCGCCCGGGGTTGCTCCTGCCCCAGTCTCCGGATGACACCCACTTGGCTCGTCGGCGACCAGCTGACATTTACGTGCCTTCCTTAGCCGGGTCCCCTGCCGCGCTTGACTTCGCCATCACGGCGCCCCAGCGGCAAGAGACCTTGGCTTTGGCGGGTCAGGAGGCTGGAGCAGCAGCGGCCGCGTATGCCCGCCACAAGGAGGACCACCAGAGCACTGCACGAACGTGTGAGGCTCAGGGGGTCACCTTCGTGCCCATGGTGGCAGAAACGACGGGCAATTGGGATGCTGGGGCTGCCGTCGTCATCAAGCACGTCGCTCGCGCTGTAGCAGCCCGCACTGGGGAGATGCCAAGTCTGCTACATTCCCTCTTGTTGCAGGAGCTGTGTGTGGCGGCTCGGTCCCACCGGGCAAAGGCTGCTCTGAGGCGGCGGCTCGCTACGACTGCGCTCGGGGATACCTAGGTGGGATGTTGGCCTGGATGGTCCTGAGTCCTGAGATCCTATGCAGCAGCTGCGGTCGGGAGGACCCGCCGTAGGGGGACGGGGCGGTGGATGGGCTCAGCCGCGTCTTCCGCCCGCGGTTCCGAGGGGACGTCACTGCTAAGCTACCGCACGGGAAGTGAGCTCGTTCTGAGGCCCCATGAGGCAAAGCATCCTCGCATTCCTGCTCTCAGAAGGGCATCTTCCATACATGGGGTGCTTCCCTATATGCACTCATGTCTGGCTCAGACATGTTTGTTTGTTTGTTCCTGCAAAGTCCTCAGATGCAGTTGGGGTCCGGGCCTGAGCTCAATGTAGCTCTTCCGGCATTTGCAGGAGGGTTTCAATTTTCTTTGGTTTGCCTTTCGCCTTTGGCGATGAAGTCTTCATCACAGACTTGAACCCCAAACCCCAAACCCCAAGCCCTAAACCCTAAACCCTAAGCCCGAAACCCTAAACTCTAAACCCTAAACCCTAAACCAAACCCCAAAACCGAAACCCAAGCCCAAGACTGAAGCCCTCACCCCCAGATCCCCCCAAATCCTGGGCTTGGGTCCCCTTTCATTGCGCTAGTGCAGCGCTTTGGGGGTTTCGGGTATAGGGTTTGGATCCCTAAACCCTAATCCCTAAACCCTAAACCCCAAACCCTAAAGGTGGGTTTGGGGCTTGATATACAAGAGCTAGGGCCCACAGTGTTGTTCCCTTTCTCTGTATGTCTAGGCTCCCCTTTACCGCCTCTGAAGACACAGCCCAAGCACATCAAAGTCTAGCAGTTACCCTAAACCTAAACCCTAAACCCTAAACCCTAAACCCTAAACCCGCAAGGATGGCGCGTCGCCCTTGTCAGCATCTTCCATTGCCGGGTGCGAGTCGACGCCACGCTGCGGGGCAATCTCGTCCCTAGCTTGGCAGAGGTTTAGGGTTTAGGGTTTAGGGTTTAGGGTTTGGGGTTTGGGGTTTGGGGTTTGGGGTTTACGGTTAGGGTTTAGGGTTTCGGGTTTCGGGTTCAGGGTTTAGGGTTTAGGGTTTGGGGTTTGGAGTTTAGTCGTGGGGTCTACAAAGTTTAAGGTTTAGGGTTTTGCGGGTAAATCCTAAACCTTGTAAACTCTAAACCCTAAACCGCCTGAACCCTAAACACTAAACCCTAAACCCTGAACCCTAAACCCTTAACCCTAAATAAGCCCTAAGCCCCCGTGCTGGAGGGGAGACTAGGTTGCGCTCCTTGTGTTCGGAGACTTGATTTGGAAACCTGCTGCAAGTTTAGACCCTAAACCCTAAACCCTAAACCCTAGGGTTTAGGGTTTAGGGTTAGGTTTAGGGTTTAGGGTTTAGGGTTTAGGGTTTATTTAGGGTTTAGGGCCAAAGTTTAGGGTTTAGGGTTTAGGGTTCAGGCATCCGAAAACCCAAGAATTACGCCCCAGACTCCACACCCTCAGCCCGAAAAGCAACCAAAGAAGTCGCCACAGCCCTAGTGTCCCAACTAAAGCCCATACGAACACCCCACGGCCCAGCGCTTCAGACGCCCCAAATCCTATAAACCCCCAACGGTTTAGGGTTTAGGGTTTAGGGTTCAGGGTTCAGGGTTTAGGGTTTTATGGGGGTTTTCCCCTCGCCCCCCCAAAACACAGGCCCTTGCCAGCTGCTCTCGTGGCCGCTTCTGGCGTGGCTCCCTGCAATTGTTGGAGGAGATGGCCAGCAAGGCGGCTGGAGGAAGCTTTTATGGAGGGGTCGGAATAAAGAAAAAAACCCACTCGAATTCTTAAGGCCCCTATATTAAGCCTTATCGGGTAGGCTATTTCAGCTTGTCGGGCTTAGAACCCCAAGCCCTGACAGGGGGGTTTCCAAACTTAGGGTACCTTATTGGGGTTCCTCTTGATTTTATTATTCAGATTATGTTTAGTATTGTTGATTATTATTGTTGTTATTATGACTATTATAGGGAAGCCCACTATTGGGGGGTTTATACTGAGGAGCCATTGTTGGCGTAGGTGCCGAATCGCAAAGACCTCTGGCTTTGACGACTTGAACCTCTAAACCCTAAACCTGAGCCCTAAACCCTACCCCCCTAAACCCTAAACGCTAAACCCTAAACCCTAAACCCTATTTGAGGGTTCTTTTCTTCATTGTCTTTGCGGGTGCTTCGGTTCGGGTTGTAAGCGCTTTTGAAATCCGGTTGGCAACGGCTTAGCCGGGTCCAGTTGCAGCTCTTCTGAAATTAAGGCGCGCTCAATACCCATGCAGGACGTATTTCGCTTGTGTAGGCTGCTGTACAGCAAGTAGGGAATTTAGGGTTTGTGGTTTAGCGACCTTAACAGCCCCCTGCGAGGGGTTCTTGCCATAGGTGTTTGTGGGTTTTGGAAGGACAACCCTACATCCTAAACCCTGAACCCATGATGACCTAAGCAACGGTTACCACAGAACAGCCACAGTCGCGCGCCATCTCATGAAGTCTAGAAATCCCTCAACCATCTTTAGAGTTTAGGGTTTAGGGTTTAGGGTTTAGGGTTTCGGGAGCCCCCACCCCCCAAAGCCTCTGCAAAACCTACCTCTCTTCTGCGCTACCCTCACCGTTTGTAGGGGGAACATATGGCATCACAAACCGACTTTCCAATCCAACCCGAAACCCTCAAAGCCCAACTCCCCAAACCCTAAACCCTAAACCCTAAACCCTAAACCCCTAAACACCTAAACCCCTAAACCCCTAAACCCCTAAACCCCTAAACCCCTAAACCCCTAAACCCCTAAACCCGAAACGCTAAACACACCCCAAGTCCTTGACGCACTATGCGTCAGATGTGCTGGGACCTGGTGACTGCAAACTCTGCTGCCGGCGCCCTCGCTTCCAAGAAGCTCTGGCTGGCGGTGCCCCTGACTGCGAGGGTTTAGGGGTTCTAAGGTTGCAAACCCTAAGCCCTAACCCCTAAACCCTGAACCCTAAACCCTAAACCCTAAACCCTGAACCCTGAACCCTGAACCCGAAGCCCTACTGGGAGCCAACCAGCTTGCAAGTTCGTGGCTGCTTTGGGGGTTTCCTCGTGTTGTTCCTTCAGAAGTGGGTTTAGGGTTCAGGGTTAGGGTTGAGGGTTGAGGGTTGAGGGTTTAAGGTTTTGGGTTTGGGGTTGAGGGTTGAGGGTTTAGGGTTTAGGGTTTAGGGTTTAGGGTTTAGGGTGTAAGGGTAACCCCCCCCCCCACCCAGCAAAGAAGACACCATTGATTTAGAGAGCTACACAGACAATTTGCGGTACTCGGCCTCTAGCCCTGAACCCGAAACCCGAACCCTAAACCCCAAACCCAAAACCCTAAACCCGAGAAGCCCTGAAGCCCAAGAATTCCTAAAGCAACCCTAAACGCCCCAAACCCTAAAGTAGCTCTGTCTCTATCTCTCTCTCTCAAACCCTCGCTACCTGATTCCCCAGCCTTAGCCCTAAACCCTAAACGCTGAACTGGACCCTGAACCCTGAACCCTGAACCCTGAACCCTGAACCTTGAACCCTAGACCCTGGACCCTAGACCCTAGACCCTAGACCCTAGACCCTAAACCCTAAACCCTAAACCCTAAACCCTAAACCCCAAACCCCAAACCCCAAACCGCAAACCCAGCCTGGCGGAGTGAAGGCTCTGGAACTTCTCCTCCGCGTACAGCGCCGCAGTAGCCGCATTTGAGTTAGGGTTTGAATAGGGTTTAGGGTTTAGGGTTTTGGGTTTTGGGTCTAGGGTTCAGGGTTCAGGGCTCAGGGCTCAGGGCTCAGGGTTCAGGGTCCATTAGAGCTAGGGTTTGAGGGTTGAAGGTTTAGCGATGGTTTAACGTTTAGGTTTAGAGTTAGGGTTGTTTAGGGTTAGGGTTTCGGGTTTAGAGTTTAGGGTATAGCGTTTCGGGCTTACGGTTTTAGCTTGGGGTTACATACCAGTCCCCCCGTCGGTGGGTGTAAGTGTTCGAGATTTACAATACTGGGAGGGCGGGGAGGCAGGGTGCGCAATCCCAATAAGCCTGTTTTTCAGAAGACGTTATCGGACAGTGACATTCCTCTTTTGTATCGGTCGTCTTCTTCAAGCCAGTTTCGGCTCTTGCTTTTCAATCACAATCAAGTAAGAAGCATATAGCTTGGTACAATCGGGCCCTGTCGAAGCTGCAAACATGGCTGGTCAAGATACGTGTTGTGATTTTGTCCCATGTCCTGTTGTCGACTTTATCTATGCCCCGGAGTAGGCCTTTGTTCCCTTTTTAGGGTTGTTCGAATTCGTTTAGAACTCCCTTTATCGTCCATACATAGCCTCGGTGCATCTGCCCGGGACAAAGGGTTAGGGCTCCCCCCCCCCCCCCCTCCCCCCACCCCAAAACCCCAAACCCTAAAACCGCAAGGCTCCAACCTTGTCGCCGACACCATCAGCGCCTTGGCAAGGTTTCGGTGAAGGGCGTAAACGTGGTGAACCTAAGAAGGTGGTTCTGCCAAGTTTATTTACACGCCTTTCACCCAAGTTCTACAGCAAATCCACATTGAAAACTCGCTGGATTCGTTTGTGCTTGCGGGCTTAGGTTTAGGGTGTGCAGATGCCAGGAGGATGTGGGCAAAACCACGAGGCTATTGGTGGAGTTGTTCTCACCTCATACTGGTACAACAAGGTACCTGCTGTCAAAGTGGTGGTGGGTCCTTCAGAAACGGTCGAACCGGAATAGCTTACTTCAACCAGGAGAAATTGAATTATGAGGGTCTCTGATGGAGTTATGGTTTGGGGTTTTAGGGCCATTGTGCTTAAGCCCTAAACCCTAAACCCTAAACCCTAAACCCCAAACCCCAAACCCTAAACCACCCTAGTTAGCTGAGGTCTGCAAGGTTGCTGAGTCTCAGGTGGCAGGGCTCCAGGAAGGCCGCTTAGGGTTTAGGGTTTAGGGTTTAGGGTTTAGGGTTTCGGATTAAGGGTTTAGGGTTTAGGGTTTGGGGTTTGGGGTTTGATGATGCAGGCGTGGGGGTTTTGGATGGTTTTGGGGGATAGGTTCCAGGATCGTGGAGGGATTCTAACTCAGAAGCCCAAACCCCAAATCTTGAACCCGCAACCAAGAAGCCAACGACCCTAAACCCTAAACCCTAAACCCTAAACCCTAAACCCTAAACCCTAAACCTTATGTGTGCAGCCCCACCCCGCCCCCCGCCACCCTGCGCCGTGGCCCGGTAGGGGTTGGTAATCTCTCCTACACCCTACACCCTACACCCTACACCCTACACCCTAAACCCTAAACCCTAAACCCTAAACCCTAAACCCTAAACCCTAAACCCCTAAACCCCTAAACCCCTAAACCCCTAAACCCCTAAACCCTAAACCCTAAACCCTAAACCCTACCCCCCCCCCCAAAGCCTTCCCCACACTTGGCCGCAGCATCCTGAGCCATCTCCCAGCAGACCGAAGGCTTCAACACCTGCATTGCCAGCTTCGGGGCACATTGGCCGGGTGCACTGGGGCTGCTCGAGGTTAGGGGGGGGGGGGGAACCCTAAGCCCTAAAAGACCCTAAACTCAGAGTTCCGGGTTTTCGTGTTTAGGGTTATAGGGTTATAGGGTTATAGGGTGAGGGTTAGAGGGTTAGAGGCTTAGAGGGTTATAGGGTTAGAGGGTTATAGGGTTATAGGGTTATAGGGTTATAGGGTTAGAGGGTTAGAGGGTTAGAGGGATAGAGGGTTAGAGGGTTATTGGGTTATAGGGTTAGAGGGTTATAGGGTTAGAGGGTTAGAGGGTTATAGGGTTATAGGGTTATAGGGTTATAGGGTTATAGGCTTATAGGGTTATAGGGTTATAGGGTTAAAGGCTTAGGCTTTAGGGTTTAGGGTTATAGGGTTACCTAAACCCTAAACCCTAAACCCTAAACCCTAAAATCTAAAACACCCTTGGCCTAACTCTCGCTGCTCGGGCGTTGGGTGGTGGCCTTCCTGGGTTTTCGGGCCGATGGTGCCTTCTGAGTGGTAAAAGGTTTAGGGTTTAGGGTTTAGGGTTCAAAAACCCTAAACCCTAAACCTCGAAGGTTCGTGTGCCGCAGATACACTTAGTAGCTGAGTCACATTGTGGTCGGAGCAGTTTCTGATACTATTTCCTTCTGGTCCCTTTCTAACTATACTAGAACCCCCCCAAAAAAATCTGTTCTAATTATTGCGGCCCCTATACTTGGTGTTTTTCCTTGTGCGGCATCCACCAGAACTGAATAGTTCAGCTTGTTTGACCCAGGGCACTCAGCAACTAGGTACAACAGGTGTCTTCAAGTCTATCGAGCTGGCTTTCATTGTTTTACCATGCAGGTGGGTTGCAGTAGTCTAAGGCTAAGCCCTAAACCCTACTTAAACCCTAAACCCTATTTGAAACCCCGAGCCCTGTTTGAACTCTAAACCCCCAACCCTTAGGGTTTGGAGTTTACTGGTTTAGGGTTTGGGGCTTAAGGCTGTGTGGGGTCCATGTCTGAGAAGCAAACATGAGAGTTCTGGTTACTACAGACCCGGGCTTAGGGTTTAGGGTTTAGGGTTTAGGGTTTAGGGTTTAGGGTTTAGGGTTTAGGGTTTAGGGTTTAGGGTTTAGGGAGGTGTAGGGATTGGGGGTGGCCCAGTGTTTAGGGTTTAGGGTTTAGGGTTTGGGGCGGACCCAAGGCTGCGTAATCAGGGACCACCTAATACCTGGCTTACGGATGTTTCCTCTCCCATCTTGAAGCGTTCAACTCCAAACCCTAAAGGTTTAGGGTTTAGGGTTTAGGGTTTAGGGTTTAGGGTTTAGGGTTTAGGGTTCCCTGAACCCCGGGCTTTCTTGGAGTCTTGAAGCAACCCCAAGACTAGCAGGGGTTTGGTTTCTTTCGGCTAGGCCTACCTGCATGGATGTACCAGTTTGGGGAGGCTATGCACTGTAGATATACCTTCATGGATCTGCCTTTTTGGGGGGGCTTTGCACTGCAGCTAACCCTGATGCAGTCTACGTGTGCAAGGCCATGACGAGAGCTGCTGTGGCTCTGGACACGATCAGCGCCCTGGCACAGAAACCCTTGACCCTGGAACATTAAACTACCCTAAACCCTAAACCCTAAACTTTAAACCCTAAACCCTAAACCCTAAATCCGAAACTACCCACAACCCCAAACCCTAACCCCGAAACCCTGAACTATCCCTAAGTCCATAGACCCCAAACCCAGAAGCCTAGCCACCCCCCCTGCCTATTTCAACGAAGCCCCTTAAGCAATGACTTAAGGGTTTATAGGGTTTAGGGCTTAGGGTTTAGGGTTTAGGGTTTCGGGGCCTTAAGCAATGACTTAAGGATCGCGCACGACCAAACTGGCCGGAGCACCGTGCTAACAATCCGAGTGGAGGACAGGATTTCGAGATTCTTACAACCCAGAGGGCTCATCTCCAGTACCACTATGGACTTATAGCACCCAAAACTATATACTAAACAGGGTTGTTGGGTACCTAATTCCATAATAGTACTGCAGATGGCAAGAGAGAGTGAATGTCGGACGTGGTGGCCCTTCCTGTGCCGTACCGCGGGGGCGGCCGATGCTGGCCGTGGGGGGCCAGAACGAGGAACGCGACCCCATGTTCCGCATCAGCGACTCAGGACCCGGCGACCGCCTTGGGGGCACCTGAAATCGCGAACTCTGGCTCGATGGCGCTCTGTCAACCTTGGGCTCCTTATTTGAGTTTAGGATTAGGGTTTAGGGCCTAGGGTTGAGGGTTGAGGGTTGAGGGTTTAGGGTTTAGGGTTTAGGGTTTAGGTTTAGGGTTGAGGTTTTTAGGGCTCATGGTTTAGACTTTCGGGTAGAGGATTCGGGGTGGTTTAGGGTTGAGGGCTGGCCTAGGGTTTTACAGGGGCTTGGAAATCAGGAATGGAAGCGCCTTACACCCCCCGTCCCGAAACCCTTTGGGGGCGAAGAATATGTCCCTCAACCCTAAGCCCTAAACCCTAAGCCCTAAACTCGGGACTGTTGCTTCAGAGTTTAGGGCTCATGATGGGTTTAGCTTTTAGGATGAGGACTCAAAGGGGATACACACTTGCAAGGCGTTTGGGATTTCATAGGGCTTTGAGGGTCTCGGGTTTAGGGTTTAGGGTTTGGGGGGGAGCACCCTTAGCCCTGAAAACCTGGGGCCTGCACCCTCAACCCTACGCCGTAATTAACCCTACACCCCCCGAAACCCTAATTAAACAGTACACCCCTAAAGCCTACACCCCTAAATCCTGAAGCCCTAAACCCTAAGCCCTAAGCCCTAAGCCCTAAACCCTAAACCCTGGATTTGAACTCATCAAGCCGCTCGGAAGGCGTGAACTCCTCCATGAGCGCGCCCTTGGGATGCATCCAGAGGTAGGGTTCAGGGTTCAGGGTTCAGGGTTTAGGGTTTAGGCTTTAGGGCTTTGGGGTTTTGGTTTCAGGGTTGGGGTGTATATAGGGTTTAGGGTTTTGAAGACCGGCGATCGGAGTTACAAGCTGGCTCTCCACTTGCTTGAATTCGACACTCCTCTAGAATCGGTGAGGAGTTTCCCCGGCTATTTGCTTGGTTTAGGGTTTAGGGTGTAGGGTGTAGGGTTTAGGGTTTAGGGTTTTCTTTGGTCTTTTGGCCCTCGGCGTTCTGTTATTCAGATTTTCTTGTACTTCTACTACGTGCCAAAGACCCCTTCAAAAGGAGATAGAAGAGAATCATAATGAGACATTTCCCAAAACACAGCATTAGGCCAGCACAGAACCCAAACAGTGAGAGACCATGTGGGCACGCCAAAGCATCCCACTGCATCAAAGGCACCACACCAGAATCTCAACAAAGCGACGACTGTTTTCGCATGTGGCGAACACGGACGCCCAAAAGCGACGACAGTTTCGAGGCCAGCCCGGTGCCGGCAGGGCGCACGATGCGCGGCATCATGTACCGACTCTTAACGTATAGGAACCCCCCTTCCTCTTGAATCGGAAACGACACACTGTTTGGGCAATAAATTCCAGTTCTTCTTTGCAACAAGCGAGCTTGCGAACGGCCGTGCCAGGGGGGAAAAAGAACAGCAGCCGGAAAGATTTCAGCGAAACTGAAGAGGGTTTCGTTTTTAGGGTTGGGATGTTCCGCTCTTTACTCACAGTCCTTAATAGGGATTGTAGTACCCCTATGTTTATCCCGAGTAAGGACTGTTAGTATAAGAGGGAACATCCCAAGTTAAGGGAGTGTGCAGGGTTTAGGGTTAGAAGGGTTCTTGGGTTTAGCGTTCTTGGGTTTAGGGTTTAGGGTTATTGTGTTTAGGGGTTCCTGGGCTTCGGGTTTAGTTAGGCTTGTAGGGTTTCGTGCTCATAGGGTTTAGGCTTGATCATCGGATCTTCCCCCCTCCCCCGCCGCCCGGCCCCAAGTTAAACCCCAACAGCAGGCCGTGGGACCATTGGGCCACTTGGGAGGAACCCGCAAAACAGGCATCTAGTTTCTTTCTCCTCTTCAACAGACTGCTCCTCCGAACCCTGAGCCCCCGGAATCGTGAAGGGTTCAAGGGTCAACGGTTCAAGGGTTTAAGCGTTTAAGGGTTTAAGGGTTTAGGGGCTCAGGGGCTTTAAAGGTTTAGGTTTCTGAGGTGCGCTTCAGCCGGAGCATGGCTCACTACACTCGGCCTTCTGGTCGCTTGGTGAGAAGCACTAGGCGGCGTAGAGAGTAGGATTCCTTAGGGGGTCTAGTAAGCTAGGATGCCCAGTAGTGCCCTTATTCCCTTTTTTTGGGGGGTTTAGGTTCCCTTATAAACCCCTTTAAGCAAAAAGGGTTACCCTTTTTAAGCCTAGGTTACTGGGCAGCCTAGTAAGGAGAGACTCCTAGAAGGACCCTTAGCCTTAACCTTTAATGGAGCCCCCATATGACCTTATTATAGTCCCTATATTCCTGAGTAGCCCCTACATTATTGCCCCGAAGGTCCCCTATAAGGGTCCCTCCTTTAGTCCCTTGAGAGTAGGGTTTTACCAGTAGGCTTCTATGGGCTTAGGGTTTTACGGCTAGGTTTTTCGTTTGGATTTTCAGGGTTTTAGGCTTAGCTTCAGGGTTCAGGCTATTCGGGTTTAGGCTTGAGGGTTCAGGACTTGGGGGTCTAGGGGGTTAGGCTTCATAAGGTAGGTTTCAGGGTGTTAGGGTATCATCCGCTTCCTCGGCTTTTAGGGCTTTAGCCATGTTAGGACTTCAGGGTTGTGGGGCTTGACATTTATTTGGGCCAAAATCCCAGCAGAAGGAGGCGGGTGCCCTAAACCCTGACCTTGGACCGTTCCCATTGTACGGAAGAAGTGGCTTAGGGTGCAGGGTTTAGGGTTTACCCTCAACCACGTGGTACGGTGTTTTCAGGCACTTGCTTCCGTGTCATGGCAGCCACAAGTCAGAAGTCGTAACATTGTAAGATATCCGGCCGCGGTTGCAACCATGCAGATATGGAGTTCTAGCTACCATTGCCCTACTTGAAAGCCAAAGCACCCAACGGCTCCTGGGCCCCAATATCAGAAATTGAGGCCCCAGAACCCTCCCCAGGAGGTACCAGTCCCTCTGTATAAGAGGGTCCTTTGGAGCCTTCGGGCAAAGGCTGTAACCCTAAACCCCTAAAGCCCTCAAGCCCTGAAGCCCCAAAACCCTAGCCTTCCGCGCTCAGGCCAGGGCCTCTGTCGCAAGATTGACCGCCGACCGCGTCAGTCAGAACGTGCGGTGACCCAACCACTTGTGGTTTAGGGTTCAGGGTTTAGGGTCAGGGTCTTGATATGAAACTGAATCCTTCACTCTAAACCCTAGACTCTCGAAGAGGACTTTTGCGAGGAAGCGGAATGCAAACCTCACAACGCCTAATCCCTCCCCCTCCCCCTCGCCCACCCCCCCCCCACTCCTCCCCCCATCACCTGAGATACATGTTCCCTTCTACTTTTCTTGGTAAACAAAGCCCGAAAGACCCCGAACGCCCAAGACTCCATGCCCACACACTTTGGGGGCCCCCAAGACCCTCGACCCCAACCCTCAAGGAAAGTGCCTGTAAACCCAAACCCACCCAAACCCACATGCGACGGCAAGCAATGCCAACCTCAAGAAGCGGACCTTCCACCCATTTCTTGGACGTGGGTCCAGGGGACTTGCCGGCTCATGGTTTAGGGTTTAGGGTTTAGGGTTTAGGGTTTAGGGTTTAGGGTTTAGGGTTTAGGGTTTAGGGTTTAGGGTTTAGGGTTAGGGATGAGACTTAGAAGCTACTTATAGCTGGGCTTATAACTTATGATTGGGTTTACCCTCCAGTTAGAGGGGTTACAAGTAAGGTTATCAGCCCAGTTACAAGTAGTTACTACGTCCCATTAACCTTTGAGCAACCCTAAACCATCCAAAACTTGTAGGCCTTGTGCATGCTCTTCTTATGACCTATACGTCTGACGTGTGTGTGTTGCATGGGTCTCAGGACCTATAGGGTCTAGTGTATAGCTTTCAAACCGTTAACCCAAAACCTTTCAGAATCTCACAGGTTTTATCCCCTAAGAACCCAAAACCTATACGTTTCCCTATACAACTTATACCTGAAGAGTACTTATGCCTTAAGAACCCAAAACCCATGAGTTCCCCCGATAGAACTTATGCCTTAAACAAAAACCCAAACCTAGGTTACCGAGCATCCCAGAAGCAGTTCGATCACAATAGCCTACAAAAAGCATGGGTCTTGGGTTGTTAAGGCATAGGTCTTATGTGGCTTAGAGGGTTTCAGGGTTTAGGGCAGTTCAGGGTTTAATTAGGGTTTAGGGTTTAGGGTTAGGGTTTCCAAGGCTTCTTGGCACCCAACCCATGAACTTGCTTGGGAAGTGTACACAGGGATTCAGGGTCTAGCCCGGCGCCCGGCAATCACCTAGGTTGCCGTCGCAAGCTGCACGCCGCAGGGGAAGTGGCGCGTGGCGTGGCTTGCCCCCGCACGGGTTTAGGGTTTAGGGTTTAGGGTTTAGGGTTTAGGGTTTAGGGTTTAGGGTTTAGGGTTTAGGGTTTAGGGCACCCTTTGTGCGGTCAGCATGCCTGGGAGCGGAGACTCCCTGCAGCATTCGGGTTTGGGGGTTTAGGGTTTGGGGTTTAGGGTTTAGGGTTAGGGTTTGGGGTTTGTGGGTTTGGGAAAGATCTCTGAAGGGGAATTTTGGGGTTTAGGGTTTAGGGTTTAGGGTTTAAGAAAGCGCAAAACAAACAGCCGGACTACAGAAGAAAGCCGCATCGCACAATTCACCCCATTGAAGTTTCCGGAACAGCCGGAGTGTCGAGCTTCCACCACGTTGCGCAGTCAGCCACATGGATGAGCAGCGGAAGCACGGACGTGTGCATGTGTGCACGCCCGAAGACATGCAAAAGCAGCACAGCGCAAAGAGCTCCTTCTATAATTGCGAGGGTCAAACGCACCCGGCCGCCTGGGGGACGAAACTCGTCAGAGTCCCAAGCAGCAGCACCAGGCCCCACACACCCTGCAACTGTCATGCCAGGCATGACCCCTGGCACCGGGCAAGAAGAGCATCCCGTAAGAACAAACGTTGCACGTCTCCCCAAACTTAGGTCAAACCCTAAACCCTAAAACCTAAATCCTAGACCCTAGACCCTAGACCCTAAACCCTAAACCCTAAACCCTGAACCCTGAACCCTAAACCCTAAACCCTAAACCCTAAACCCTAAACCCTAAACCCTAAACCCTGTCCGGGGCGATCCCCTGAAGCTGCCATCGCCAACCTTGGCGGCCAAATGAACCCTAGAATTGGGGTCGTAGACTCTATGCGCTATAGTTTCCTATTTAGGTATACCCAGACTCCCAAACCCCTTAATTAAGGAATATACCTTAAATCATACTTGGGTTCCTATTAATTGTAATTGAAGGTATTTTCCTTAATTTAGGGGTTTTGCAGTCTCTGGTATATGAACCATTTGCCCTTTTAGGGTTCATTCGGTCCCCAAGGAAGGGGATCAGAAACAGCACCATGGTGCGGACCAGGGCAAGCAGGAACCGGTCGCGCAGAGTGACTTTAGGATTTAGGGTGTAGGGTTTAGGGTTTAGGGTTTAGGGTTTAGGGTTTCACGACAAACATGCCACGACCAGCTAAAGCCCGCCTTGGTACGGGTTGAAGATGAATGGTCATGAAGTCAGCGACACAAGCATCGCCACCATGCATCGGACAGCTGACCAGAGCCCGCTATACAGAGTGCGACAGTTGCATCGCACAAGCTGCGTGAAAGACGATGAGCCCTGTTGTGGCTAACTCTAAACCCTGAACCCTAAACCGGGTTCGCAGGGTGTTTGTAGGGTTTGAGAGGTAATTTGTCCCCCTCTAGAGCCAAGTGCACATGAGAAGGTGCCCCCCCGGCTGTTCTCCCGAGAAAAACTTTCCGCGCCAGAGGTTGTGCCTGCCGCGGCCAAGCCACGTAGCCGACAATGCCGCTACTTGACATTACATGAGTCCTCAAAACCTTGTACCCTACAAGCCCTATACAACTGCACAAGCCAACGTTGCAAGCCCTCTAAAGGCCCCTCTAGGCCCCTGCATATGCCCTAAACCCTTGTTCAGCTTTCTGTGTGCAGACCTAGATGTTGCGACGTCGGACACTTAGAGATAGGTTTAATGGCATGGGTTGAGTGTCCAGCGTTTCACTGGGATGCTCTGTGGAACGTCGACCGGGTGAAGCCCCTCATGTCAAGCCCTTGAACCTAACAACCCGAAACCCTGAACACTAAACACGAAACCCTAAACCCTAAACCTGAGCCCCCTGAACCCATAGCATAGCCTTAAGTTCCTTTGTACTGCGGGGCCTTATACGCGCAGGGCTACCAGACTGCGAATGCCCATATTGGACCCGGTTTGGCGTTTAATTAGGGCTTTGCGGGTTAGGGTTCAGGGTTTGGGGTTTAGGGTTTAGGGTTTAGGGTTTTGGTCGTGTAACAATGTAACCCTAAGCCCCAGCCCTAAACCCTAAACCCTAAACTCCTAAGCCCTAAACCCTGGACGCCCTGGACCTATGGCTACGGGGTACAGTTTAGGGTTGAACCCTAAACCCTAAACCGTAAACCCTAAACCCTAAATAAACCCTAAACCCTAAACCCTAAACCCTAAACCCTAAACCCTAAACCCTAAACCCTAAACCCTAAACCCTAAACCCTAAACCCTTTAGTTGTGGCCATAGTGTTTCAGGGCAGCGGGATCAGGGTTTCAGGGCTTAGAGATGAATTTGGGGGACCTTAAACCCTTGTAACCCTAAACCCTAAACCCTAAACCCTAAACCCTACACCCTAAACCCTAAACCCTAAACCCTAAACCCTAAACCCTAAACCCTAAACCCTAAACCCTAAACCCTAAACCCTAAACCCTAAACCCTAAACCCTAAGTTTAGTCGCACTGTCGGTGTGGACCGCCTGTGCAAGGCGATTGCCACGTGTGCAGAGGCCCGGTCCTTTTTCGGGCTTTTGGCGGTCTTTCTCACCCTAAACCCTAAACCCTAAACCCTAAACCTTAAACCCTAAACCCTAAACCCCAAACCCTAAACCCTAAACCCTAAACCCTGTAACCCTATAACCCCTAAACCCTATAACCCCTAAACCCCAGACCACATAACCCCTATACCCTATACACCCTAAACCCTATACGCCCTAAGCCCTAAACCCTAAACCCAGTTGGTCGCAGGGATTGGGCACTTCGACTCAACTGAGCTGTCTAAGGTTGGGGATTGCCCCGGTGTCTGCACCCCAAATCCATAACTCCAAGCCCTAAGCCGCATGAGCCGCCCTAAACCCTAAACCCTAAACCCTAAACCCTAAACCCTGAACCCTGAACCCTGAACCCTGAACCCTAAACCCTAAACCCTAAACCCTAAGCCGCCAGCCGATTTAGTCAGGGCGCATGGAACCTTCACGAGATTGTTTTGGTAGGCCCTTCCTTGGGGACCAAATGAACCCCCCAATTGGGGCCATGTACCCTATACTACTCTAATTCCTACTCAGGTATATGAGCCCTAAACCCTAAACCCTAAGCCCAAAACCCTTTTGAGTACATTTGGTCTCCAAGGGTGGGACACGCAGGAAAGCACAATTTCAGAGGGCTTCTTTACCGGAAAACCTCGGATCGGTTTAGGGTTTCGGGTTTAGGGTTGCGGGTTTAGGGTTGAGGGTTTAGGGTTTAGGGCTAGGGTTTGGGGTTTAGGGTTTAGGGATGAGGGTTTTTTGGGTTTGTTGAGGCCTAAAGGGCCCTTTCAAGCCTGTCTGTCCAGGGTGGCCGCTGGCAGGAAGCCTTGCAGCAACTCGCACCAAGCTTGGAGTGAGGCTCCCCAAACCCTACACCCTAAACCCTAAAATTTAAGAGCCTCCGGCTCAAGCCGCTGACCCCGCTGGAGCATAGTTGAGAGGTCTAAACCCGCTCGCATGGTTCGAAGATCATCCCAGCCTGCTCGGAAGAGTTCTGTGAAACGTTTGGGGGGGGGTAGGGGTTAGCACCAGAACATGGGGGGCGGGGAGGGGGAAGGGGGGGGGGGGGGGGGGTGGTTGGGGGTGGGGGGGGGGGGGGTGGGGGGGGGGGGGTTTGGGGGGGGGTGGGGGGGGGGGGTGGGGCGGGGTGGGGGGGGGGTTGGGGGGGGGGGGGTGCGAAAAAAAATTGTGCACCGACCCCCCTACCCCCCCCCCCCCCTCTCTGAAGGGGGTAACCCCAAACCCCAAACCCAAAACCCCAAACCCCAAACCCCAAACCCTAAACCTAACCCTTAAACCCTAATGCCTTTGGGGCTCCAGGCTCTCGATCGTGTTGAGGTTGTGCTGTTTTGGGGGCTTGGGGTTTAGGGTTTAGGGTTTAGGGTTTAGGGGTTTAGGTTTTCGCTTGTTTCTGTTGGATTTCCGGGTGTGATTGCCTCTCTGCTTAGGGTTTTGGGTTCAGGGTTCAGGGTTCAGGGTTTGGGGTATCCCTGAACCCTAAACCCTAAACCCTAAACCCTAAACCCTAAACCAAAGGGTTTATGGTCCAGGGCTTAGGCTTGCCCAAACAGCTTGTCGTCAAAGAGCCCTCCCAGGTTGCTCGGCGCCCATGCAGACGTGGTTGCTTGCGCCGCTGCCGTGGCGCGGATCGCAACCCAAGCCCGGGTCGCCCTAAACCCTAAACCCTAAACCCTAAACCCTAAACCCCATACTTGAAGGTTTCTGGCACTTATGAACCAATTATAACTGTACCTAGAACCACATTTGGGCACTTAAGGGGTTCATAAGTGGGTTATAAGGGTTTCGGGTTTAGGGTTTAGGGTTTAGGGTGAGCCTTCAAGTAGACTCGTTTACGCCGAAACCCAAAGTCCCTCATGTCGCGAGGTGAATGCCTGCGGCCGAGGCAGCGCCCGCCCCTCCCGGTTTTAGGTTTTAGGTTTAGGGTTTAGGGTTTAGGGTTAGGGTTTAGGGTTTAGGGTTTAGGGCTTAGGGTTTAGGGTTTAGGGTTCAGGGTTTCGGTTGATTGAGGGGTGTAGGGTGTATAGGCTGCAGGGTTTAGGTTTCCAGGAACCTAAAAGCCCCGAAACCCATTTGGTCAGCTCTTTAGGGTTTAGGGTTTAGGGTTTAGGGTTTAGGGTGTAGGGCTTAGGGTTTAGGGTTCAGGGGGGGCTGCCTTGGGCAGCCTTTTGAAAAGGAACCCAACAGGGACCAGTTAGGGTTGAGGGTTGGGGATGGGTTTAGGGTTTAGGGTTTAGGGTTTAGGGTTTAGGGTTTAGGGTTTAGGGTTTAGGGTTTAGGGTTTAGGGTTTAGGGTTTAGGGTTTAGGGTATTAGGGAAATCTTTAGGCTCCAACTGTTCAGGAAGCCTAAGCTATCGGGCCTTCGGTTTAGGCGAACCTGAGCCGGCTTACTTAGGTCGTTTTCGTACCTTTGTATTAACAATAAGTAACCCCACGATTATAAAGTATAGATAGATAGATGCAGATATGTATTTTCTATTTGTATATACTGTTTGTAGTTTTGTACATTTTGTAGATAGCTCTATCGGACGTGTTAATGGGCAACCCTTTGTTGTTGGAAAACCCCTAAACCCCAAACCCGAAACTGTCCCCCAAACCCTATCTCGGGAGGGCTTTAACAAGCAACCTGGTGCGACTCAAGGAGAGAGGGCTATAGGGTATGATTTCGGGTTAGGGTTTAGGGTCTAGGGTCTAGGGTCTAGGGTTTAGGGTTTAGGGTTTAGGGTTTTAAGGCCTGTTTAGGGTCGAGTGGAGTGGCCACGAGCCTGGGAATGTGGGTTTAGGAAGGGTCTGGGGTTGGGGGTTGATTCTGTTCCGAGAGCCCGATGCATCGGGCTGGCTCCAAGATCAGAAGGGATCTACTGGGAGGTTCATGGTACTTATTAACCAGTTATGACTGTACTTCTAGCCCACTCATCAGCCCCCCAAGTGCCCCAACATGGTTAAAAGTACAGTTATGAGTACAGTTATAACTGGTTAGTAAGTACCACAAACCTCCTACACCTTGAACCCTAAACCCTAAGCCCTAAGCCCTAAACCCTAAACCCTCAACCTTCTTGCAAGCTAAGCCTTCGTCTTGCAAAGGCGGGTGCTGGCGCGCCGCCCTAAGTTTGCTGGCCAGGCGGGCTACGCCTGCCGTTGATGACAAAGGGTTCAGGGTTTAGGGTTTAGGGCTTTGGGCTTTCGAGGTTGCCGGGTTTGTTGCATGGAAGGTAGCAGGATCTCAGGCGTGGCAACCATAAGACCCCCAAACCCCCCCCCCCCCCCCAACCCCAGAACCCTAAACCCTAAACCCTAAACCCCAGAACCCGAAATCCTAATCATTCGATCTTGCCCAGTAGATCATATCCCGGCTTGGGCTTTGCCTGGGCATAACAGTGCCCCACGGTCGCCGCAAACAGGCTTCAGGGTCTAGGGTTTCAAGGTTTAGGGTTTAGGGTTCAGGGTGCAGGGTTTAGGGTTTAGGGTGTAGGTGAAGCGCCCCAAGAAGGGACTGTAACGTAGAGATATGTCTGAATGTTCGGGCGGGGCCCTGCATGCGCCGCCCCCTTCGACTTCCGACACCCCAAGCGCGGCAAAGCCTAGGAGTTCCCCCAAACCCCAAACCCTAAACCCTAAACCCTAAACCCTAAACCCTAAACCCTAAACCCTAAACCCTAAACCCTAAACCCCAAACCCCAAACCCCAAACCCCACTTCAACCATAGGGCTCAGGGTTCTCCGGCTGGCTTTTTCCCTAAACACTAAACCCTAAACCCTAAACCCTAAACGCCAAACCCCAAACCCCAAACCCCAAATTTTCGGCCTAGCGGCACGGGCCGGCCCCCGCCCCGCAAAACAGGAAACCTCGAAGTGGGCATCGTTTTGTTTTTGTTTTTCTGCTCCGGATTTACTGTGCGTGGGTCAGTTTTTTGGGCCCGCCGAGCGGGTCGGAAACCGGACCACCAAAATGGGACGCAAAGTGGTCGCCGGGGTGGGGAGACAAAACAGCCCGACAAATAAATAAATACTTGGCGCCAAAAGTGCGGCCCCAAAACCGACAATTCTGCGGTTCCAAAACTGCGCCCACGGCGCGGCCGCAAATTCTGCGCCCTGCCTGCTGCTGGCATTAAGAAAGCTGCCCAGAAAACAGCCCCAAAAACGAAGCCGAAAACCGCGCATTTTGCATGCCAATCGGGCACCTTGCTGCCAAGCATTAATGGGGCCGTAGCACCCAAGATGTTTGCACGGACCTTGCTGTGAAATTGCCGGGCATTGCAGAAGCCCTTCCTGCAGACAGCTCGATCATGCTTGCCTGATGGCATTCTTGCGATACTATTTGGGTCCCTCGCGTTGAAGCCGGACGGTTGACCGTTTGGCGGCACCAAAAGCAAGCCCACCAATATGGCAAGCCCACTCCGTGCTGCACAGACCACACGCCAACGCACCGGCTGGGCAGGCACTTGGACTACAACGCTACAACTACACGAAAATAGGGGGTAGCACCAGGACCAAACAGGAGCTGAAGCCAGGGAAGGAGAGCCCATCGTGAGAGGGGGGTAGGGGGGGGGGGGGGGGTGGGTAGGGGGGGGTAGGGGGGGGGGTTTGGGGGGGGGTAGGGGTGGGGTAGGGGGGGGGGGTGGGCAGGGCGGGTGGGGGTGGGGGGGGGGGGGTATGGGGTGGTAGGGGGGGGGGGGAAGGAAAGAGGAGGGTTTCACCTCCTTTTTTTCCCATCCAACACGCCGCCCAGGGTCCGCCGCCCCAAACCCCAAACCCCAAACCCCAAACCCCAAACCCCAAACCCCAAACCCCAAACCCCAAACCCCAAACCCCAAACCCCAAACCCCAAACCCCAAACCCCAAACCCCAAACCCCAAACCCCAAACCCCAAACCCTACACAACCGAACCACAGGAGTCCGCGCAGCGTTGTGGCCCTGAATGCTGCCATCAGTGCTGGCGCCTCGGGTGTGTCGTTGCCGTGGTGGAATGTAGGGTTTAGGTTTGAGGGTTTAGGGTTTAGGGCTTCGGGTTCAGAGGTTATGGTGCCCTACATCCGGGTGTTTTGGAACCTTTAACTTCTAGTCACAATCCTTGAAGCACGCGAAACACACAGCCGGCTCCGTTGAAGGGTTTAGGGTTTAGGGTTTAGGGTTTAGGGTCTAGGGTTTAGGGACAGCTCAACCTCAAAACTAAGATAAGGTCATTTAAGGGAGAACCGAGGCTAGGAGGGGTAGCACGGGGGGTAGCAAGGAAACCCATGACAAGCTAGACCATGAATCTTCAAACCCTTTGATTTAAGCACTAGGCCCCTGAACCCATAAAACCGAACAAAAGCAGCCTTGAAAAACCCTAAAGCCCGTACCAAAACGCCGGAACCCGAAAAAAACTTATAAAACAAAAAAACTGAACTTGCCAAAACCCTTAAACTCTAAACCCTAAACCCTGAAACCTAAAAAAACCTTACTCAAGCCCCTGAACTCTTACATCCCTTAGCCTAGAAAAGTGGGAAATACTCCCAAGCCCTTTAAACGCTACACCCTGAACCCTGAAACCCGAACACCTCGCTCAAGCCCCTAAACTCGAAGTCCCTTAGCCTAGAAAAGTGGGTATCTACCCAAACCTTTAAACGCTACACCCTGAACCCTGAAGCCCGAAAACCTTACTCAAGCCCCTAAACTCGAAGTCCCTTAGCCTAGAAAAGTGGGTATATACCCAAACCTTTAAACTCTAAACCCTAAACCCTGAAACCCGAAAACCTTACTCAAACCCCTAAACTCGAAGTCCCTTAGCCTAGAAAAGTGGGTATATACCCAAACCTTTAAACGCTACACCCTGAACCCTGAAGCCCGAAAACCTTACTCAAGCCCCTAAACTCGAAGTCCCTTAGCCTAGAAAAGTGGGTATATACCCAAACCTTTAAACTCTAAACCCTAAACCCTGAAACCCGAAAACCTTACTCAAACCCCTAAACTCGAAGTCCCTTAGCCTAGAAAAGTGGGTATATACCCAAACCTTTAAACGCTACACCCTGAACCCTGAAGCCCGAAAACCTTACTCAAGCCCCTAAACTCGAAGTCCCTTAGCCTAGAAAAGTGGGTATATACCCAAACCTTTAAACTCAAACCCTAAACCCTGAAACCCGAAAACCTTGCTCAAACCCCTAAACTCTAAGTTCCCTTGCTCAAACCCCAAACCCCACACCCCAAACCCCCAACCCCCAACCCCAAACCCCAAACCCCAAACCCTAAACCCTAAACCCTAGAGCAGAACCTCCAGGCGTGTGAGCAGTGGGGGCTTTGGCAGCAAGCCCTCCACCTCCTTGCGACCGCAGAGGAGGTGGGTTTAGGGTTTTTAGGGTTTAGGGTTAGGGTAGGGTTAGGGTTTAGGGTTTTTTAGGGTTTAGGGTTTAGGGTTTAGGGTTTAGGGTTTAGGGTTTAGGGTTTAGGGAAAAGGGTTCAGGGTTCAGGTTTTTTTTTTTTTTTGTTGGGGGGGGGGGGGGGTCCAAGGGTTTTAAGGGTTAAGGGGTCGCTCAGGGCCTTGCCTGTCCGGTGGCACAAGATCTCACAACCTCAACTTTTTTCTTTCTGGGTTTATGGTTTAGGGTTTGGGGTTTCGGGTTTAGGGTTTAGGGTTTAGGGTTGCCAGCTAATTTTTTACTGGCCCTTGACCAATCAGAAGGTCCTTGCCCCTGCTAGGGTTTCGGGTTTGGGATCATTTTGGCTTCTTGGGGTTTAGGGCCTATGGGCTGTACATGAACCCTTGAAGATCTGCGTGAGATCTCAACGCTAAACCCCGAACGCCGAAACTCCCGACCCCTCTCTTCAAGTGTCTTGGGGAGTTGGCGTATCAAGACTCGCACCCCTAAGGTTTCAACCTAAGGGTCCAAGGTATAGTATAGAAGCCCTAGATGGAGATGGCAGATGTGTGAACGAGTTTCTGAGTCCGTAAAGCCCCCAGGCCCGCATAAAACCACCCCAGAACTTCAAAAACCTAAAGCCCGCTTAAGCCCTCAAAGCCTACAGCCACTATCAAGCCCTAAACCCTAAACCCTAAACCCTAAACCCTAAACCCTAAACCCTAAACCCCTCGCAAACCCAGACCTCCGTCGAGCTGACCGTGGTGACTTTGAGCAGTCTTCTCAGCGTCCTGCAGAGAGGAGCCGGCCTTGGTCTGGATCGAGTAGGGTTTAGGGTTTAGGGTTTAGGGTTTAGGGTTTAGGGTTTAGGGTTTAGGGTTTAGGGATTAGGGTTTAGGGTTTAGGGTCAGAGAGGGTTTGGGTCCCCAACGAGTTTTGAGCATAAGCTTAGAAAGACATGCTTTGGGCCGAGCGTTTTTAAAAGTATTTTCTTCAAATATTTTGGGGTGGCCGGGCCGGCATGAAAAGTGCTGAACGAGTTTCTTTTTCAGCTTCTATTCAATAGTGTTTTTGGGTGGCCGGGGTGTGAAATGTTCAGGATACCCTAAACCCACGAAATTCTTGCCGAAAGTTCGACCGAACGTCTCGAATGGAAGTTTTGATCGGAACCTTGGCTCGGCCGAGAGTTTTGAACGACAGTTTTGACCAAAAGTTTCGGCGAAAAGTTTGGGCCGAAACGCTTTCACCGAAGATTTTAGGTTTTAGGTTCTAGGTTGTAGGTCTTAGGGTTTAGGGTTTAGGGCTTTTTCCGGCACTTGAACCACATCTTGGCTTTTAGTGGCTTGGAAGGGAGGGTGTCTGCACAGCTGAGGGCACATCGGTTTGGGGAGGCACCTGGGTGGGGGCGGTTTAGGGTTTAGGGTTTAGGGTTTAGGGTTTAGGCCATTTTTATGATCTTGTCTTGATGGTTTGCGGTTGATAAGGGTTTGAACGTTTTGAAGAAACGTTTCGAACGAAATGCGTTGAACGAGTTGCTCTTCTACCCGGGGGACCAAACATTTGGGTATCTCCCAAAATAGGGGTACCCCGTTGATACCCCAAATAGAATAGAGTCCCCTTAAAGGAGATTCCCCAAAAGGGTACCCCTATTTTTGAAACCCCCATTTTGATTGGAGGCTGTGTCGGGGGGTACCCTAAACCCTAAACCCTAAACCCTGGGTGGCGGAAACACGACACGCATCTGTCGAGCTTGCATTGGGGTTGCGGGAGCACGCGGGATGGCTCGTCGGAGTTTGGGTATCCACATGAGTTGTCCTAAACCCTAAACCCCAAACCCCAAACCCGAAACCCTAAACCCTAAACCCTAAACCGCAAGCTTTGGAGGAGGGAGGGCGAAGGGAACGGGAGGGCATGCGGGGGGTGGAAGGGGGCTTAGGGTTTAAGGATTAGGGTTTCGCTCTCCGACCCTAAACCCCAAACCCTAAGCCCTAGACCCTAAACCCGACAGTTGTATCTATGTTGCCGCTGCATTCTTGACTCGCTGCAAGCGTTCCATAGCGCTGCGGTCTGAGCAGAGTTGGCTGTGCCGGCACGGGACAACATTACACAGGCTCATTCAATTCAACCGGGCCTATTTCGGCCATGGTCATGCTACGATTTGCAGAACTTCACAGCAGGGCATTGTTTAAGATAGAGCGTCGCAGGGAGCCCTAAAACGGTGAGAACGACTCGCCCCAAACCCCCAAAGCCCAAGCCCTAAACCCTAAACCCTAAACCCTAAACCCTAGTATCGGTTAAGTTAGGAATTGCGATGGATGATGGAGGGGCTGAGACGACTACCCTTCGACTGTCTGGTCCTCCCGGCGAGATGACAGCTGACTCCGTTTTGGCCCTGATGAATGTGTTGGCTCCGCGGAGATTCGACTTTGCAGCCTGTCTGCGGCTTAGGGTTTAGGGTTTAGAGTTTGGGGTTTGGGGTGTAGGATGCCGAACCCTAGACTAAACCCAAGAACCCTCTTCCGGAGGTTTAAGACCCTAAACCCTAAACTCTAAACCCTAAACCCTCTTCTGGAATTTGCGCGGTCAGGCGGTTCCGCTTGGGCCTCTAGACTGGGGTTTGGGCTTTGAAGGTTTTTGAGGTTCAGGGCCTAGGGCCCCCAACCCTAAACCCTAAGCCCTAAACCCTAAACCCTAAACCCTAAACCCTAAACTACAGGTTCTGTTGTGTCCTTGGAGTCGAAAAGGTTGTGGGGGCGTGTGCAAACCATGGACCTAGCAGGCCCTTGAGCTTCAAACTCCCAAACCGCAAACCCTGCAATTCTGCCAGCAATTTAGGGTTTAGGGTTTAGGATTTAGGGTTTAGGGTTTAGGGTTTAAAGGTTCCATCAGCATTTTTAGGGTTTAGGGTTTAGGGTTCAGGGTTCAGGGTTTAGGGACTAAGTCAACACACCCCAAACCCAAACCTGTTAACCTTGTAGAGGAGGATAGAAGGAAGGATTTCACGATACCTCTGGATGTCTTTTCAGGGTATTCCCAGGGGTATGTGGAATATTTCTCAGACTAGAACCCCCAAAGACATGATGCAGCCCAGCTTGCCCCTTTCTTTGAGGTTTAGAGGGCCTTATGTGTAGGCCTGTTGTTGCAAGGGCTCAAAGTAGAAAACACCCTAGACTGCAGCCCCAAACCCCAAATCCTAAACCCTAAGCCCTCAACCCTAAACCCTAAACCCTAAACCCTAAACCCTAAACCCTAAACCCTAAACCCTAAACCCTAAACCACCACCGCAAGAATTTCAAGGTGTACGTTCTACCGGCACGACGGAAGGCAAATGGTCATGCCGTGGGTTTCGTCAACTTTGTCGATCACCAGACGGCCACCTGAGGGTTTAGGGTTTAGGGTTTAGGGTTTAGGGTTTAGGGTTTCGGGTTTAGGGTTTAGGGTTTAGGGTTTAGGGTTCAGGGTTTAGGGAGTCTAGAGTGCAAGAGAAGGATGTAGGAGAACCATGAAGTGCTAAAGCCTTCGTCAGGGTGCTAAGAATCACGATTGGGATGATCATGATCAACCCTGAACCTAAACCCTAAACCTGGAAACCCTAAACCCTAAGCCCTAAGCCCTAAGCCCTAAACCCTAAACCCTAAACCCCAAACCCCAAAGCGCAAGGCTGTCGACATTGGCAACATATTGCAGCAGCTCTCTGATCAGACAGCTCTGAACATGAGTGCGCGTATCAGTGGCATCCAAGGCCGCCTCTCTCTCTCTATATATATATATGTATATATACATATGGGCTGCCGCCTATCCCCCCCCCCCCCCCCCCCTCTTTCAATGTCTTCATACAGTAGCCAGTCTTTCCGTGTCTTGATACAGTAGCCTAAGAATTATAGCACAGCCATGTCCACAGACACAGCTACTGTTTATATACAGCCACTGCTCAGAAACACAGTCACCGCAAGCATCTAGAAACCCTACCGCCCGGAAACGCCCATAAGACTGCGAAGTATTTGAGGGCATAGGGTGATGCGAATAAATCTATTGCATGTAGGCCCCGGGGAAAGCAGAGTACTGTGAGCAAATATCCTTTCACTATGATCCGGGTTCTGGGCCTTCCAAAAGCCCGACTTGCTCGCAAGTATGTGGGTTTTCATCTCAATGTTTCCCAAAGGGTCCCCCGAAAGAGTTATGTGTTTTTGAGGATAAGACTCATTTATTACTAGCCTCAAGCATCACAAGTAAATGGCTCATAAACCCTACTCGTTTATGGCTCAGATTTCTCAACGCCTTATTCGATTAAGACTTCGGGTCAGACCCCATTCCAAGATGTATACATTTTAAAGGCTTGAGGTTTAAGATTTAGGCATTTAAAAGCCTAAGCCGTCAATTAGACGTAAACCGTTAAACGTTAAACCCTATAGGGTTTAAGGTTTAATGGTTTAGGGTTTAATATTTAGGCATTTAAGCTTAAGCGGACAAAAAAAACCTAAACCCTTAGCCTTTAAACCCCATAGGGTTCAGGTTGAAAGGTTTAGGCGTTGAGATTTACTGTAGGAGTTTAAACTTAAGCGCATAATTAGAATTTAAGCCTTAAGGGTTTAAGGTTTAGGCATTCAAGCCTTAAACCCTTATAGGGTCAGAACCCTAAAACCCTATAGGGCTCTAAAAGGTTCAAAGGTCTTAGCCCTATAGGTGCTGAAGGTATAAATGCCCAGACTTTCGGTTTAAATGCATATAAAACTTAGGAATCGATGCCTCAGATTTAGGCATGTAAACCGTCAATAGGGTTTAAAGGCTTAGGGTTTTTCAGGGTTTCTCTCTGAAGCCCTGACGGGGTTAGCCCTATAAAGTTTAAACCCTGCCTACCAAGTTTAAACCTTAAAGGTTTAAGGCTCTGAGGGCTTGAGGCTTAAATCCCTAAACCCTAATTTCCATTGGGTTATGCCTATGTTTATATATGTAGGGTTTGCCTCCTGTGGAAATGCAAAGAACCACATCACCCTTCACCTTTAAACCCTATAGGGTTAAGGTTTGAAGGTTTAGGCGTGAAGATTTGAGAGTTTAAACGAGTTTAAACCTTGAGAGTTTAAGGTTTAGGTATTTGAACCTTAAACCCTTTTAGGGTCAGAACCCTAAAAGCCTATAGGGCTCTGAAAGGTTCAAAGCACGCTATAGGCGCTGAAGGCATAAATGGCCAGACTTTCGGTTTAAATGCATATAAAACTTAGGAATCGATGCCTCAGGTTTAGGCATGTAAACCTTCAATAGGGTTTAAAGGCTTAGGATTTTTCAGGGTTTCTCTCTGAAGCCCTGACGGGGTTAGCCCTATAAAGTTTAAACCCTGCCTATAAAGTTTAAACCTTAAAGGTTTAAGGCTCTGAGGGCTTGAGGCGTAAATCCTTAAACCCTAATTTCCATTGGGTTATGCCTATGTTTGTAGAGTGCAGGGCTTGCCTTCTGTGGAAATGCAGGAAAAGTAAGTACAAGGAAGTACCGACATCATATATGTATATAGGGTGTATGTATTGTAGATCAAATACAGATAATGGAGAAGGAAGGACGGTAAGTCTCGAGCCATAAGACTAGGAAGTATTCCAGTGCATAGGGTGATGCGAAAAGTTTTTGACTATAAGCCCCGGGGATGCGAGAATACTCTGAGCAATCTTCTTTCACTATTTCCTGGGACCGACCTGGGGCATATGTGGTCTTGATCAAAAGAAAAGATATAATGAGTATTGAATATACTTGTATACTATACTTAACACAACCCCTGTTTATAATCACCGACCCTGTTTATAAACACCTTTTGG